TTTTTGATTTGTTTACGCAATATTAGTCAGATCCATTTTTAAATGGTTCAATTTAGGTTAAAATCGTTACAAGTTAACGTTAAAAGAAAATGGACAACTGTTTGTTGTATAGTAATAATGTGAGCGTAACCATTTAAAAGGAGTAAAATGTTGCGAATTTTATTAGAGAGGTTAGAGTGGGTTTCCGTCCATGTGCTATGTAGATCTTTTTTCGATATCCCTAACCAGCAAGCGTTTATACATTAAAAACGGACAGGTGCTATTTTGTCGATATTTTTACACGTGTGAGGCGGTGATGCTGAATTTGAAGAATGTAATCTATCTTGTCGGATATTGATGACGCACGGGTAAAGATGCACGATATTACACATTATATCCAGATTGTAGAACGTTCGGTCGTTCGGTCTACTACATAGACTATGCTATATAATTTATAGAAACTATAAAAGAAGCTGAGGACAACTAGATGGACCGATGACGTGAAAATAGTACCGGAAAACAGGCTACAAGCTGCCAGTGCAGAAAACATTGGAAGAGACTGACGGAGGCCTGTGTTCACAGTGGACGCGATTGGCTAAATGATAATAATGATTATATATTATATGAACTAAATCTAAATTATGAGATCTCAATATAAAAATATCATTACTGAAAAATAAACTTTTATTAAATTGTGAAACATGAACAAAAAGAAGAATATGTTTCTCGGACAAGGCACTACTTGTTTCTAGTTCTTGGTCATGAAACCATTGTACAAAACCCTGATTTTTCATTAAACTTTATGAAGTTCCACACTCTAGATAAAAGCCATCAACTTTCTTATGGGGGCTGTTTAAGGATTTTTACTGGCTACGCATTGATGTGATCATTAGCTCTTATCCCCTAAAATTTTATGACCTGATCTTCTGGACGTTAGGTTTTTTGTCATTATCACGTTTCTTTCGTATTTCCCCTTTGTCTCCTGCATACAACTTATTGTCACAGGTTTTGGTTCAGCAGTGTTCTTATTAAAACATAGTTTTAGAATTACATTTTACATTTACTATTACACAGTGCTAAAACTAACACCATGTCACAATGTCTGTTCAATCCATTCTCAGTACTGTTTCTGTAAACTGTTTAGTCAAAGTAGTTTTGGGAATAATGATACCCATTAGACCAGCTTTGTAATTTCTACCATCACAAGTTTTGGTGAGGAAGTTGCAGGTTTACCCCTTCTTGTAATTTGTCTCGTCGGCAGTATTTTTGGTAGACGCAGTCAGCCATGCATCCCATGTCACATCAGTTGCTTCTTGAGAATTAGTTTGAGATTTCCAGGATGTGACGAACTTGCTAGTATCAACACTGTGCTCTTTATGTGCAGGAAGCCAGATTTGCTTTAACTCCCGAATAATCATTACAGAAATACCTGAAATGTCTCGGTATTTTATAAAATTGTTGTTCCCTAATGTTGATGTTTGTCCCCATATTCTTTGGACTACTGAGGTTATATCTTCTTTAGTGTTTTGGCATATTTTTTTTGAAGTGGTTTTATTAGTTTTTGGGTATTTCTTAGTCTTTCATTTTTGTTAATTTCGACTATGGTGTTCTCACGATTTATGGGAAAATAAGGATCGGTACATGCAGAATGCCTGATGTAAGCATAAGGTCTAATATGAAAGGAAATACGCCCTAGTGACCCAATAGACCGATTGTAACACGTCTTTTTAGACACACAACTGTCGTGAATATTTGGATAGTTCCAGGTCTAGAGTCCACTTTACCCGGTTCAAGCCCCATACCAGTGAAGGTGGAATTGCACGATGAAGATACACTTTATCATTCTACATTAATCTCAAATGAAAGAAAAAGCAGATGACTAAAAAAACGTTAAATGAATTTAAAGGAAACAGCAGTAGAAAAATGAAAGGAAATGAGAAAAACATAATCGAAGTAAACACTATGTGAAACTTTTGAGACAACCTGCTTACGTGTGATCATAGAAACAATCTTCGTAATACCCTTTGCTTTGTGAAGATCCAAATACTAGTAAAAACGGTTTTCCGATGTTTAACTGTAATTTCACATTTATGCTTCACTGATAATTTACTAAAAACTTTAAATTATTTAAGAAACATGACTAGTTTCGCGAAAAAAAAGTAATTGGCTTTTAGTTAAACTCGTCTTAAACAAATTTTCAGGTTCTTTGGATTTCTCATAGAATTGCCTTGTTTCTATGACTAATTCATTTAGGCACAGACCATTTCTCACCGCAGAGGTGGAATCTGTGCCTTTGAAATATCTTGCTGAACTTTGCCAATAACAATAAACCATTTCTTTACTGTACACTATTTATACAAGGTGAGAAGGTGGTGATATGAATGCACAAAAAGAACTACAAAATATCAAATTTAATAATTTATGTTATTTATTTAAGAGTTGTAGCTAATTGGGCCAGTTTTCCGAAATAATAACAAATATCACAAGTTACTAGTATCTCACGGTATTATTTTACTTGCAATTATTATTAACGTAGATGCACTCTCTACTTCAATTTTGGGATTTTAAAATTGTCCAAATAATTCGTTCCCACCTCTATTTTTTACAATACTCGCAATAATTATCAGTTTTTTAGTTTCAGCAGTTGGTGTTTTTTGTTTACAGTGAGAACAAGTTGGTTTAGTATAAGTATATTATCAGCTATTATTGTACGTACAGTTCTTTGGTGTACTTTAGTACACCAAGTATAGTATAATTACTATAGCTATACTATAAAATAGCTAAATTTTTAAAACTCATGCGCATAGGATACTCATATATTAAATTTCAACATTTGTCTATTCTCGCTCTTCTTCCCTTGCGTTCTTTCTCTTTGTCCCTCTCTTTTTTTTTCTCTGTATATTGTGACATATGTGTTCAGTATAAAAGTTATAAATTTACAGAATTTACTAAAGAATGGCAATTTAATTGTAAAATATTAAGTCCGTATTATCACCAATCAACTGGTATGTCAGAGAGATATATTAAAACCTTTCAAAAACTGCTTAAAAAATGCGAACATAGTGATCCTAGATAGACCCTTATGAAGCTATAATCTTCATCTTCAGCCTGAATTCGTCCACTGCTGGGCATAGGCCTCTTCCATTTGCCTCCATTGATTTCTACTCGTGGCAATTCTCATCCTCTGCTTGCCCGCTGATATTATCTGCCCACCTCTTCTGTGGTCTGTCTACTTCTCACCTGTTCTCTCTTGGTCTCCAGTTTGTTAATCTCTGTGTCCATTTTTCGGGATTATCTCATCAGTAATCTTTGTTCTTTCACGAATGTCAATATTTCGAATCCTGTCTCTCAAAATAATCCCTAGCATGGACCTCTCCATTTGGGTTGTACTGAGCTGCTCTAAGGTGTTCTTTGTAAAGGCCATGGTCTCCCCATATGTAGTTACAGGCAAGATACATTTTTCATAAACTCTACGTTTTAGACACATTGCTATATCTTTATTCTTCAAGATAAAGTTTAACTTGCCGAAAGCTACCCAAGACAATTGTATGCGTCTTTTTATTTCGCCTATTTGGTTTTCTTTGCCGATTTTAGTGGTATGTCCAAATATATATAGTGGTCTACATTTTCAAGACTGACTTTGTCAATAACAATATTATTTTTTAAATTACTCATAATTTTTGTTTTCTGAAGGTTCATTTTTGAAGCTATAATATTGTAATTTTGGAGTATTGTAATACTCCAGTTAATAGTATTGGTTACAAAATACCTTCAGAATTATTATATGGGAGAAACATAAATGGATTTTTATCAACCAAATATACTTTCAAAGAACTTTTGGAAAAAGCATGTCCAGATAAAATTATAAGTAAGTCTCCTGATTTGCAATCACATTCACATTTAAATGATATACAGTTGAAATATAAATATTATCATGATTTGAGACAAAACAGTAAAAGATGAAAAAGGTGATTGTATATGTTAAAGATAAAAAACATGATGTGATACTGGCAAGGGTGGAAAGTACAAGTGATACACCTAGATCCTATTTGGTTAAACTTGCAACAGGAAGTGTGGTTAAAAGTAACATATTTAATTTATATAAATCACCAGAAAATGCTAAATTCCAAATTGATGATAAATATGAAAATTGTACTCATGAAACGTTGATCGATTCTTCCTGTGTATCAGAGGAAGTTATTGTTGGGATAAGTTTAATGAAAATACAAAGTCAAGTCCTGTCATTTAGTAAACATTTATTTGTCTCATAATCCCCATTACAATAATGATCTTGTTTCCTGCTACCTCTCAGTTATCACTTATGATACCGACCACTAGCAAACTTTGAGGATTCGCTCAAATTGATCACTAAACTGTTCTTTCATTGGACACATTCCTTGACCTTGAGTAAATATTATACTTTACTCTAAGTATAATATCATTGTTATCTCATTTGAGATATTGCACCAATTAACTATAACAACTTTTTATTAACTCGAACATTATTTTTCTTTTTCATTACACAAATAATTTTCTGTTTTTTTTAGCTACAGCTCCTCACTCATCCTGTATAAATAATTCATTCCTTCGTAGAAATTCTAATTAACATATAAGAACAAATTATAAGATAAAGATGTTGATTTGAAAAGGTATTTCGATACCATTCATCATTAATTCGGTTCATTTTGAGCTAGATCTGACTCTTTTGCGCATGATCAAATTAAGTGTTACAAACGTAGAGGTCAAATTTGTCTATTCGCAACTTATTATTAAGTTACATTATGGAACAATCGAATAAACATTGAATTTGGCAGACTATTTTTACTAAATTTCAAGAAAATTTTGACAGCTCTGCGTTTCCACCATTATTTTAGTGTAGAATAACACATATTTACAGATAATATGCAACAGTATTAAGTAATTATTAAGAGGCAAAATTCAGCAAAATCACTTTCATAGCTTAGAAATACCAATTTTCCATTTCTAATCTATGAATTTTGCCACCTGAGAATTTGTTTCAGGCCGTTTGTTATGTTATCGTAAAGGTACTTCTACTGGAATCTACGAGACGACCATATTTGCTGTATGGTAAGTTTAAGAGAGCAGCGACAGACACTGGTTGATTGTTGTCATTTATTTTTGAATCTACATTGAAACTTTTTAAAAACGATTTAGAGATGGATTGTGAATATAAGAACAACTTTTGGCAATAACTAATTTCTCCCGCTAGAAATATTTTCAAGGAAGATTTGTTCCAGGAAAAAGTGTAAGAGAAGAAATATTAAATCTTTGAAAATGACAAAAAATTCATTCTAAAATCCGGAGTATAAAATATCTTATCTCGTCAACACTATTTATACAGTATGTGTGTAAAATCTCCTCCGAAATATTTTCTGAACTATAAAACTTAAATGAATAAATTTTGGGTAATTCAATTAAGGCGACTGTTAATAGTTTTTTGATATTATAGTGAAATATATAGTAAAAATGGCGGAGAGGTCATATTTTCTGAAAGTATTTTAAATGGGATCATATGACAGGTAATACATCATTAGAAAGTTGTCGTGTTACTCTGAATGTGTATTTCTAGATCTTGGTGTAAATATGATGCGCTGTTTTAACATGGCAACTGTTCAATTTTTAATGACGACAGTGTGGAAAAATAAAACCGCTAATAATATGGCAACGACATGAACTACAACAAGAAAAATGCCAAATATACAGATCCTGAAATACAGATAAGAAAACAATGGAGAATGTAAGTGTTTAGATGATACATGTAATCTTATCAACCACTGTTGTCATTCCGAAGATCATCTTACGGAACAAACAGTTGGATCTTAGTGAACATCCTATAAGACCATGCAAAAAACGATACTGCTCGCGATGTTCAGACGTATAAGAATATTTGTGGGATATAGGAAAACCTTTATATTATTGGGGAAATCGTTTGAACAGAAACAAGTTATTTTTAAGTTTTCTACATTATGACCATTTGTTTTTTTGACTTCTCTTAAAAATATTATGTTTTCTGACATTTTTCTTAAATTTTTGTGATTTATTATTTTATTATTTGACAGCTCGTGTATCACTTAGTAGGCTAGTAGATACAAGAAAGAATTATTCTGCCACTCTTAAAGTCTGAGAATATACGGAGTGGCACAAGAGCTTTTAAATTATTGATCAAATGTCAGACATTGTCATTTAAGAAAAATGTTGATGATGTCATATTTTTACAGATATCAATAAATAAATAAATTCTTAAAATTCAGAAGGCAAACTGGAAAATAAATTGACTTGTTCAAACTTCTTTCATAACATGTAAATTATTAGGGGTAATCCGTACTTTAAACATTTTGAGCCAAATAGAACTAAGGAACTTGTCAAATTTCGTCAATAGAGGTTAAGAAATGGTATTATAAGCAAAAAACATACCCGGGCTGTGATATTAGGTCCGATCAAAATCCAGTATCCATGGCAATAAGAATAAAACTAAAGAACCTCAAAAAACCTAGAACGAGTCTTTCGTGAAGCCTTAAAAGAAATGGGTTAGATTGACGTTATATATGGGCAACACTTACTGGAGTGTGTGCTCATCGAGGCTGGAAACACTGACTATGTAACATAAAGGGAGGAGTACGTCAGAGATGCCTTTTTTATCCACTTCCTCTTTAATATCAAAACATGCAAAAAATACTTTAAGGGATATGCCCTTTAAAAAAATACTAACACTGCACTGCAGTGGGTATATGTCGAAGAAAAAAAAATAATAACAGGTATTTTCCCCTGCATAAATCACCATCATTGAAACATTCAGCATAATTATTGAATGTGCTATTGCAGTATATATAAAAAAGGGTACCTAACTACTTTCAGTGACTTATGGGCTTGTTTAGTTATACCCTCTACAATTAAAGATGACCTATTCTGTATTAAATTAATCTTTACTTTTGATTTACTTCGTACTATTTCATTGACTGCATGCCGGTCTTAATTGAAAACTCCGATATTAGTTTGTGTAATATTTGGAATATTTATTTTTTTTTCCACGAGAACTTAAGTGTTTTCGCTGAAGATTTTTAAAACGCAAATTAAAACTTTATACAGAATGGCATTTGAAATACCTGAATTAAAACATTATAAGTTTCTTCAATCGTTACAATGTATATGATGATTTTTTTTTAACTATAAACCGGTGCTTTTAAGTTTATGGTTCAGAAAGTGATTGGAGGAAAGGACATTATATTCCAAGCAATTTGATATGCTAGGAATATTGTGATACGTACGTCTTCGTTAAACGAACTGTATTTAACTGGTTTACCAACTGGTTAACTGGTTACGTCTTTTCTGGCCAGTATCAGCTATATCAGCACGTTTTTTATATACATAAGGTTAATAACAGTAACCTACATTAATAAATTAAAAAAAGTTTCGATGTATATCTTAAAGGGTGAGTATTGTTAACATAATCTTTTATATTTACAGCTTTTAGGGTAAGATGCATAACAGTTAATTAATTTTGTAATTATATGCAATTGAATGGAAATAGGTCTTATTTAGGAAATAACTAAATAAGTCATTATATTAAGTACCTCGATATTGATCATTAATCAACTGAAAGTTTTTTATTTTGTAAAATTTATAACAGCTGTTTCGTGTCGACAGTTATGTCAACTCATATTTGTGTTAATTTAAACGTTTTTTGAACCTTCTTTCTGCTTGACCTATATACACTTAAGTGATTTTATATTCATATTTGAACAAAGGTTTTAACCAAAAATGGTTATCCGTTGACATTTATAAACAATTTCACAGGATTGAAGAAAAGATACGACACAACACCAAAACCAATGCAAAAATGTTTACACCAAGGGATTTGAAGATGACAAAACAATGTGCTTGTCAGAAAAATCAAAAAGGATAGAAAATAAATACAATATCACACATTCAAAACACACTGATTTTTATACTTGGTGAATGCAACAATTTGTCAAGACCACTAAGTGTTAGGATAAATGCGCATGAATCATACATCAAAATCAGAGACTTCGACAGATCTCAGATAGATAGTAAAACTTCCAAAGATTTGTGAGGTTGCGGTCAAAAGCCCTAGTGATTAAAACACTAATATATATTGACTCTTTTATTGAAAGTCGAGCTTTCGAACCTGTTCAGTTTCTTTCAGAAACTTATGCCTTTTTAACCGCAACCAAATCTTTGAAAATTTTACTGTATTAACCGGTCACAAACAACTTGCATATATATATATATATATTATATATATATATATATTATTTATATATATATATATATATATATACTTTTTTATTTTTAGTTTTTTGAAAAAAGTTATTCTTTATAAAAAGTTCTGCATTAACAATATCCACAATTCATATTTTTAACAAACCGCGTTTTTGACAAAACCATTCGTATGACTGAAAAAATTAATATTTCATTACAAATTTCAGATTGTATTTTAGGTTTTAGAACATGGAGAACTTTTTATAAAGATTAACTCTTTTTCATAAAACTGAAAATAAAATGTTTCCCATGTGGTGCCAATTATTTGACACACTGTATATATACAAATTTTATATTTTCAAGATGGAGTAGAAATTTTACTAACAAGTTAAACTATGGTATTGGCCATAATATTTTTATGAATGTAATGTATAACATTCTTATTTATATTGATGTTTTTAATATGATAAAAACATTTTTATGTTGTACAGGGATGTATCAGAATAACGAAAATAATAACTAAAATCTTAAGTATCAGGTTCTTATCCAAAACGTTAAAATTTATATTTTTGAAAACATTTCGTTGTGTTTACGTTACATTCACGTAACATGTTTCACCACAGTCTAGTTTTTCCAGATCTTACCGTACAACAGTAATAAAATCTGGTACAGTACAACTATTGTACCTTAATAACTGAAGATACCTCAGCGCGTTAAACTATGTGATGTATGATAAAATAAAGTGGAAATATTTCAAAAATATAGTGTTATAGACAGAAATAGATTTCCTACAAAAGTTCTAAATTCAATTATTATATCCATTTAGATTAGAAATACTTCTATAAAATTTGAAGTTGTTGTTAACTGAGTTTAACTAATTTTTTTTAAATGTCATGTAATAAATTAAATGTCATTTAAGTTTCATGACATAATTTAAAATGTATGTTCAAATCTCTAGGGCGATACGTTTTTTTAGTCGAAAATGGAGAAAGTTTATTAGCGATTTTTTTATTAAACAATTTCTACGTCACTGGAGTTAAGCTTCAAATAGCTATGACAAAAATTTATATTGAAATATATTTATTAAGAATGAAGTGAGACAACTTAAAATTTTAAAACTCACCAACCTACTAGTTAAAAACGGTGATCCTGTATTAACTGACCGCCACAGGAACATAATTTAGGTCTATCTACCAATCCACCATCTAATATTAGTTGTAGCGCTGGCGAATATCAGGGGGAATAATTTCTTTGCATTCCTCTCGAATTCTTGCCCGAATGGAAAAAGGAAAGTAACGAACGCTAACATATCAAAAAAGAAAACCCCACGGTTTAGAGAGGAAGTAGAGATAAAATGTGAAGAAAAGAGAAAACCTTTTTACAATATAGAACACAACAAACGCAACAGTCATTGTCACTGTAACCGAATCAAAAATGAAATGAATACTTTAGTTAGACAAATAAAAAGGGAACACTGTCAGAGCTTCTCAAAACATATGGAACACGACTTCTACGGAAGTCAAAAAGAAATATGGAGAATGATCAGAGGACAAAGAAAAGAGATGAACGAACTTATAAAAATGAAACAGATTCAGACGGAAACATGGGCAGATTACTTTCGATCTCTATTTGCTAAAGGTGGCGATAATGAACCATCAACCCCAGAAGTGACGGCAAACGAAAAATTATTAGGAGGTAAAGGAAGCATTAAGGAAATTAAAAATTAGAAAGTCGCTAGGCGAGGACAAAATACTGAATGAATTCCTTAAGTACGAAGGACCAGATCTGACCAAACAATTATTAAAACTAATCCAAAGAATACTAGAACAAAACTGAATACCACAAGA